ACTCAGACTGAAATATCTATATTTACTTGTACAAACAGCAAGACTATTTCGTTTTAAGTTATTGAAGATGAGCAATAAGAAAACTGACTTAGTTGCTTTTCTACCATAATTGGCATGCTTCTAGACAAAACCAATTTCCTAAACAAAGAAAATTTATTATTAAAAGAGAAGATAGCCTTAGGCTGCTAAAAATGTATTTCCTTCAAATGTTCACAATTGAGACTATATTCCAATATATAAGATCAAAGATTTGTCTTTTTTATTTCTTAAAATGTCAATGCTTTTGTTGCTTTATCTGTTTATATTGCTTTATTTACAAAAATGAGTCTCAAAATACGAAATTGTATTGTTGTCTTTATTTTTATTAAAAAAATAAACAATATTATGATAAAAATGTTTAAAACATATTTACTGCGCTGAACAATATATAAATTGTAAAAACTATATCTAATTGAAAGAAGTATAGTAATTTGTAAACAGCCTAAATGGGTGTTTTCATAACCTTAGGGTCGTTTCTTAAAATATTTGTAACAAAGAATGTCTAAGTAGTTTGATTAACATCTATTTTGTGAAAAGAAAAGAAAATATTCATGAATAAAATTAATCACTGCTTTTGTTGGTATGTTTGGCGATGATTTTACGCAGTTTAATATATTGTCAAATTTCTTTCATTCTCTGTATTCTGTAATCATTTTAATGGTGAAGTACTCTGTTTCTTTACACTAGTTTAACAAGTCATATCTAGGAGATTTATCCATCTAACCGGCTTTCCTGGATTACTAACCAGTAATAACCTTTTTCTCCGCACGAGACTGACTTAAGTCTTAAGTCAGCGGTGATGGTCAAATAGCCATATCATTCGATGTCCTAGATCCTGCGTTACAAATCCGATGCTGACCCTGGTAAGCAGCAAGACTTTCCTTGCAATGAGAGGCAAGTGATTTTAGGCAAGCGAACCAACACATCTGCAGATGTTACAAAGTTCAAAATTTTAGCAGTGAATGTTAAATGTTGAATTCTGCTTCAGCCGGTGTTAGGGAGCTTGGACGGTAGCTTATAGTTACCGTCTATGAACAGACTCAGTCAAAGCGAGCCTGCAACATTTTGGGATTTAGCAGTTTTTTTTTCTTTTTTGCTCCAAAATCATTCAATGAAGACCCAGCAAAGTTGCAAGAAACAACCTTATAAATAATTTATTGTTATGTTTCGTGATTTTTTGTTTTGCACAGCTTTTGCCACTTTTATACTTATTCTTCTGGCATGAGGTAATAAATCCCAATTTAGCTCATATGCATGGAATGTGCACATTCGTTACCTGAACTTTCATTCATTATTTCTTGTTGAAGAAATATTTCTTGAAACTGATATCTTTTTGGATAAGACATTTTAAGATACAACCTTCCATAATAGTACAGAAAATATTTAAAATATTTTTTCAAATACTAATTTCTTTTTTTTTCTTTTTTTAAGGTTTAATCGTTATGAACGTCTTATTTTTTAAAAATTAATTAACTAAATATTACCAACCAATAAATCGAAAAGTTTTGAACCGAAAAATCTTTCTTTTGTCTCGATGTATACTCGTATAAAGCATATTTGCAAATTTGACGTAAATGAGAATCCAGTTTGTAAGACTGAACTTAAACCATTTGCATATTTCGATTCTGGAATCACTTCATTTAGAACTTTGAAATTGTTTCGCCATTTGAACGATAAATGATTTATGACTTTTTGCAACTTGGAAATTAACAAGGTTGTCAGTAGCACCTGTCTTGTTAACCTGGTTAATATGTTTATTTATTTTAATTGTTGTACTTTCAAAATTTAATGTAAAATTTATTTATTTTTCTGACAGCTTAAAATATGTTCGTTGATAGGGTGATAAAATAAGACTTTGCAATTAGAATAATGGGAGTGGTATTAGATATGGTGGTTTTATTATCCCATCATTGTTTTTTATCCATAACTCTCTAAAAGGTCATGAAACAAAGTTATGTTATGTGCATATTATTGTCGTTTTTTATGCTGTTTTGAAATGCAGAAATACAGTATTTACATACAATGTCTCTTTGTAATAGAATATTTAAAAGGCAATGTCATCTTTTACTATGCTTGAATATCCATATATATTTGGTTAGAATAAAGAAATATAATAATCTTGTATTTGAAACATTATCGGCCTCTGCAATTATGATATTCAAAAGACACACCACAGTTAACTTGAATTATAATTACACGAATATTTGAGGATTGTTAAATCAACTTTGTTCATGATAGAATTATCTCAGACGCATGAATTCATAATAACATTGCTGTCCATCAAACGTTAAGTGGTATTTTCTTTTCAAGCAAATGCAATCGATCTTTTCTACAAAAAAAATAGTTACAGATTTGGGATTAGCTCTTATCTTTAAATCTGAAATAAAAGTAATTTTTCATGCAAGAAATGCATTAATCATATCTTAGCCGGCTATCTCAATTTTAACTGATATTTATTTGATCAAAATGTCCTAAATAGTGTTTACTGAAATTGATACTTTTTACCTTTTAAGATTGTTGTTTCTTCACATTTAATTTCTATTGTATAGAAACGATGGAACCAAGACATCATTGTGTACACATATATCATTTTTGATTGATTTGTTTGATTTTATCTGCAGGAATACGTATGATATAGAATGAAAAATATTCAAATAATGCAGAGATGTTACATTTACAATTTGGTTAACAACACTATAAATAATTCACTTGCGGTTAAGAATAGGAACATATCTTCTTGTTTGTTTACTTTTTCTAATGTTTCATTTCAAGAAGATAAACATGGATCATGATGAACTGTGCTTTTGAAATATAGACGTTGTGTTGAATACCCTCCCCTCCCACATCCAATCCTCAACCAAAAAATAAATAAATTTCTGTTTCTGTGTAAAATTATTGCTTTTAGAAATAACAACAAAATTCACTATTTGAAACAAAGTCTCAAGTATGCAATAAGGGTATTCATTACACGTCGTCAGTGTTCCTTCTCCAGTTAATGGGAAAATGACATCTTGGCATCTTAAACAAATTAAATATCATACAAAGCTTGTTATCAAAGTTGTTTAGTTCTCAAGACAGATACAGTATTAGGAAAGCGCATAGTCGTATGTTATAGCTATCAAGTGACATGTTGTTTTAATCCAAATGGGATGCTTTGGTCATTCGTATCACCTTATTTAATCCTTTTATATATATCAAGATTGAGTATTTATCCAAAGTTTTCAGACAGCTTAAAATAAATAAGACGTTGCAATAAGAATAAGAGAGTGGTATTAGATATGGTGGTATCATTAGCCCAACATTGTTTTTAGTATCCATAAATCTCTAAAAGGTCATTTATGTGCATATTATAGTCGTTTTAATGCTGTTTTGAAATGCAGAAATACATTGTTACAAGCATTATTTACATACAATGTCTCTTTGTAATCGAATAGTTAAAAGGCAATGCCATCTTTTACTATGCTGTAAATATCCATATATGTAGTTAGAATAAAGAAATATAATAATCTTGTGTATGAAACATTATCGGCCTCTGTAATTACGATATTCAAAAGACACACCACAGTTAACTTGACTTATAATACCACGAATATTTGAGGATTGTTTTAATCAACTTTGTTCATGATGGATTTATCTCAGACGCATGAATTCATAATAACATTGCTGTCCATCAAACGTTAAGTGGTTTTTTTTTCAAGCAAATACAATCGATCTTTCCTACAAAAAAACTAGTTACAGATTTGGGATTAGCTCTTATCTTTAAATCTGAAATAAAAATAATTGTTCATGCAAGAAATGCATTAATCATATCTTAGCCGGCTATCTCAATTTTAACTGATATTTATTTTATCAAAATGCCCTAAAAGAATCGTGTTTACTGAAATTGCTACTTTTTTGTGACACAATTTGCTCAATATTGAAATATATTTATATTTTATTTCCTTTGTTGTTTCTGCACATTTTATTTCTATTGTATAGAAACGATGAAACCAAGACATCATATATCATTTTTGGTTGATTTATTTGATTTTATCTGCAGGAATACGTATGTTATAGAATGAAAAATATTCAAATAATGCAGAGATGTTACATTTACAATTTGGTTAATAACACTATAAATAATTCACTTGCAGTTAAGAATCAGAAAATACGTATCTTTCTGTTTGTTAACTATTTCTAATTTTTCATTTAAAGAAGATAAACATGGGTCATGATAAACTGTGCTTTTGAAATAATTATAGGCGTTGTTTTGAATACCCTCCAACCCCATACGCCATCCCCCTAAAAAATACGCTTTTCTGTTTCGGTAAAAATATTGATTTTAGAAATAACAAGAAAAATCAAATCACTTTTTGAAAGAACAATGTCCCGTGTATGCATTAAGGTCTTTCATTACACATCGTCAGTGTCCCTTCCATAAAACTTTCAGTGAAGTTAATTGGAAAAATGACATCTTCACATATTTAACAAATTGAATATCATACGAGGCTTGTAATCAAAGTTGGTAAGTCCTCGGGAAAGATGAAGTATTAAGAAAGCGCTTAGTTGCCTGTCTAAAAGAACTGTTATAGCTATTAATGTGACATGTCGTTTTGATCAAAATTAAATGTTTTGGTCGGTCGTAATCTTTTCTTTATTTCAAGACTGAGTATTGCTTCGTATCGGAAGTTTGGATGCGTGAAAAGTTAACGCGCCAGTATTTGTCTTTTATGGGCAGACCAAACCAAAGCTGCAATTTTTCTTTACTTGTTTTCGATGTGTCGTGTATTGAAACTCTTATGTATATTTAGACACATCCAGATCAAATAAATATTACTCACAAACATTACAGCAAATTTGCCAATAAGTGATTTAATCTCTGTGAATTGCATGTCGTACTATTGGAAAAAAATAACCCGACTGTTAGGAACGGCTCGCTTGTAAGAAGTTCAATATCGTCCAGTATTCTTACCATTGCTACTCATTGCCAGAAAAGGATGGCAAGATAAAAGTAAATCTCATATATAGTGAGGAGTATTGGAATACTAAGACCATATTTTGTTTCCGTAAATAACGTTCATAGCACTCGTGAATATTGAGATATTTATAAATGTGTATGATAAAGTGGTTATTTAATTTGTTTATTTATTGATGAAATTCATACGCATAATTCCATTGTGTATAATGTTACGTTTGACTAGATACTGTAACATATCTATTTCTAATAGAAATGTTATACCAATTGTCATTAATACTTATTATATATTAAATAACCAAACACAATAACGTACTTTGTAATATATCTTCAGTTTTGAAAAATGGAAAAGGTTTACAGTGATATTTCTTACAAAATAAGCGTTCTTTTGTTCTTTGGATACTTTCTGACTTTATCATGTCAATTAGAGTGTGATCGTCGGATTTATTGTCATGATTGGCAGATTGATTCTCAGGAGACATGCTGTTATTTATCTGCCGGAGACAATTGTAATAATGATTCCCGACGTCTTTGTGATTTTGAAATGGGATATAATTGTGATTTTGGAAAATGTACTGGTAAGATTAACATTAAACATTTATTGTGTAAATTATGTAAACACGATGAAGATGAAACAGATTATCATTATTTTCTTTGTTGTTGTACATATAAAAGACTTTAGACAAAATATTTTTGAAACAGTTACATCATGCCATTTATTGCTCATTACCTATGTATAGAATTTAACTATTTCTTTTTTTCCTAAATGATACGCTCGTATCTATATTAAACATTTTATCTAAAATTGAAAAAAGCTATTCACATTTCTTATAATGCTTTAATAGTCGTTGACTAAGCCACAAGCAATTGTTGTGTTGTGAGGCAAACGCCATCTGTTAAAATGTTCTCGGACACTATAGCCGTAAGAAACCACAAATTAATTGCAGTTAAAATAAATGGAACTAATCTACAGTCAGAAAATGAGATGCAAAACAACGATTTGTCCACATTTTAATAAAGATCAAACATTTAAGATAACAATGTGGATTTGTTTAATACTTTCTGAGAAAATGAGTCGTTTAATTAACCCTGAATTACTTTTGAAAAATCTTCTCTTTCTTCGTTACAATTCAAAACAGATTTTAACTTAATTTAAATGCTTCTGTTTTGCAATGTTAGAACCAGTTTATACGTACTAAAAGTAAGCTTTTTGTATCAGTATTATGTTGCTTAAATACATACTGAATATATTTATATTTAATTGAATCTGCTTAATACTTTTGTTTTCATTCCACTCATATTTGTTCGTAAACAATTTGATAAACATTTTCTAAGTCTGATGAATATGATTATTTTAAATCATAAATGAAAGAATAATATAACATATTTCAATGCAGTTTTAAATAAAACGAAATAAGAAAGAAATGCATTTTTCACTCAGTATAAATAATAGATCGGTAAGGTTCTTTTCTCAGTTAAAGAATGAACTATTTATTAATTTCTTTTTTCAGTTTTACAATTGTACATATATGCCATATTATATCACCAGCATGAGTATGCCGTCGATTTGACTTCAGTTTAAAACATAATGTGTTAAGCTTTTCAAAATTTCATATCAAGTTAATTTCAAAAATGAAACAAGCGTGAAATTACTCCTGGAATCAAAGTATCTGTCGAGTAAAATCATGCATTCCTGGCATTTTACAGATTTAAAACTTCTTTACATTTCATACAATTTATACGAATTAAATAGTCTTAAAATGAAAATAAACAGAAACAATAATGTTTTTGTTTTATACAACAAATTGAAATTTTGATGAAATAAACGTGGATTAATGATACATGAAGCAAATTAATTAAAAACATTTAACTCAATAAACAGAAAACGATAAGTTTGAGTAAATTTTTAAAATCAACATTTCGTAACCAGTTATGATAGTTAACTGCGGCTGACATCTTTTCTGATTGAATCCACACACAGATAAAGAAAACATTATATTATCAATTAATGATATACCATAATCAAGCCTTATAAGCGTTAAAAATTTTTGAAGGGAAACGATCGTTAAAAAATCATTCAAACGAGTTTGAATTGTATTATATACATTTTAGCTAATTCGTTTCTGGTAATTGTACAAAAACATGCATTTGTTGTAGAATTGCTAGAATTAAACCTAGAGGAATAAAAAGGAAACGTGAATTTTCTCGAAGAAATGACATATAACATATAAGAGGAATAATTAAAGTCGTACTCAAATCGAATGAAAATAAAGGAATCTGGTCAAACTTTGCAAGTGCAATAAACGAGTTGTCCTCATAATTATATCGTGTTAATTTTTATGATGATTCAGTTTTACTTTCGTAGTTTTTGTCTGTTTTACACTTATTTAATTAGCATAATGTAATATATTCCAATTTGTTTCTATGCAAGGAATGTGTTTATTTGTCGGACGGATCTGCATTTGTTTATCGTGATTAAGAAGAATGTCTTTGATAAATGTATGATTCGTTCTTTTGCTATTTGTTGAAACATTATAAAGTACAGTTTCTTTATAAGTTTCAGTTATTAATCTATAAAGTTTTTATACAATACAACGAGTACCTCAGATGATGAAAATCATGATTCAACGTGATTGTGTTTAATTGTAACTAAGGGTTTTTGAAATTCAGTTACAAAAAAAATGAAAAGTCTAAACATTTGCCATTCCAGTTTACAGTGTAAACGATATAATCAAAAACAGTATCAAAGTTTGCAAATCTGTTTCAATATCAATCTAGCTGGATTTAGATCCTTTTCGAATTATTTTGCAAATGTTTTATTTTGTAAAACATGTTATAAAACAATGATGAGCAATTTGAACAGCATTAACTAACATCAAAAATTCATTCCGCTTTTCTAGAAGTTTTATATTTTATGTTTTGATAGTTTTTACTAGAATTTTGTATGTTTGATGTGGGGGATATCTTTGGGGGAATTTAAAATAAAGCTGGGGGTTGCATAATCCCCAATGTTATAAAATAGAACAAAATTTTTTTCAAAAATTTTAAAAAATAGGGCGCTTATTTTAAACCAAATACTTTCAAAAATGATTCAAAAAAATTTTACAAACCAAAAAATTCCTTTCTTAAACAGGGGGGGGCCAAAAAGGGGGGGAAGAAAAAAAAGATAAAAAAACCCCTTTAACCAAAAACCACAAATCAATTCCCATATAAATCGAAGAACATTTGTACCAATAAAAGGGGTATATATACCCTTGTCTTTAAATTTTAACCCAAAGGTTATTGTGATATAGGCTTTAACGGGGTTGTGTAAAAAAAAACAAAAATTTTCCAAAACCCTTTCTGACTAAAAGGAAAAAACAAAAAATTTAATCAATCAAAAGCGGAAATTCAGGTTGAAAAATAATGCTTTAAAATAAATAGGGTTTTTTAAAAGGGGCCCCAAAGAAAAATGAAAAGGAATTAGAAGTGTTTTTTTGATGAAAAACCCCATGTTTGGGTTTGAAAAAAATGATAATATTCCCTTTTTGTCTTCCCAAAGGTATAGTGGAAACGGGGAATTTTTGAGTGCTACAAATATTAATATGGGGCGGGCCCCTTCCCAAACTGCTTTAAAACGATTTTTTTTTTTTGTTTTTTCAAAAAAAGGGGGCTTCTACTAGGAATTACTTTAAAAAAAAATCAAAAATCGTTTGGGGGCCAGAAGGGTATCTTTTTAAAAAGAAAGGACTTTCCTTTTGTTTATATTTTTCCACGTTTTTGTTGAATAAATTAGAGTTTCAAAAGAAGGGGTTTAATACTTTTTCCCTTTTTAAAATTTTCCCTTTTTAAAATAAATTTGGTTTATTTTTGGGGATGAAAAACCCCAATAATAACTGAGTAATGAGTTTAAGCGAAATTAAGAACAGAAAGAATAAATAATGTTGAAACTTAAGACAATTTCATGTCATCACATTGAAATGTGCTTTAATATGTTTAGGTGTGACACTATATTCATGTCCAAAAATGTTTCATGTTGTTTTTTTCCTTTCATTTCTTTTACAAACAAGTCAATGATTTCTGCTCTCAGAGAATATGAATCTCAAATCCAACTCAAATGCATTATAAAAGTATTATAACAAACGAAAAACAGAAATATGCAAGTTCAATGTATACAGCATTTCCAAAGTTTTACACATGTCGTCATCTTTAGTTACAAATAACGGGTTTGCTTGTTTAATGTAATTGAATAGGTTTACCCCCATTACTGCAATTAGCGTAGGGATTTGTATTTTGATCAAGGAAATCATATCAATCGTGTTCAAGAACGAAACCTATGAAGTGGTGAATAAAGTATAAAATGTAAAAAAAGGGTCGAAACAAAGGACCCCTAAAAAAAGAAAATTTTTTTTCCAAAAAAAAGAAAATATTACAGGGAAATTGCGACGGGGGTTTTGGGGTTTTTTGAAAAGAAAAGATAATGAATAAGTGAAAAACACCCCTCATCCCCCCTTAAGCACCGGGGCTTGAGCGTAAAAAATTCCAAATTTAATAATGGAAAATAGAAATTTCAAAATTTAAAATTTTCTGTGCTTTTTCCCCATAATTGGCATCCCCTTATGGGAAAAACCCAATTTTTTTCCCTAAAAAAAGGGCCAAATTAGTTTTACTTAACAGAAGATCCCTTTAAAGGTTGTTTAAAAATAAATTTTTCCCTTTAAGTTTTTAAAAATTTGAAAACTATTTTCCAATATATAAGATCAAAGATTGCCCTTTTTTATTTTTTAAAAATGCCCAATTTTTTTTGGGTTGCTTTTGCTGTTTTTTTGCTTTATTTACAAAAAATGAGTCTCAAAATACGAAATGTCTTTTGTTGTTCTTATTTTTTGATAAACAAATAAATAATTTTATGATTAAAATGTTTAAAACATCTTCTTTTTAATAATATACAATTGTATAAAACTATATCTGATAGAAAGAAGTATAGTAAATGTGTAAACATCGTAAATAGGTGTTTTCATAACCTTAGGCCGTTTCTTAAAGTATTTGTAATGTCTAAATAGTTTGATAAACATCCCATTTTTTATATAAACAAAAAAAAATTTTCCCTTTAAACAAAAAAAATTTCACTGAAAATTTTTGATATTTTGACGATGTTTTAAAAACGCGGGTTTTAAAATTTATTGTCAAAACTTTCATTCTCGGGTTTTCTTAATCTTTAAAATTGTTTTTTTTCCCTGTTTTTTTAGGGCCAGCTTTATTACAGGCTTTCTAATATCTGGGCCCGTTATTCCATTTTCCCTGTTTTTTTGGGGAAAATAGTAAAATAATAAAAATTTCCCCGGGCACGTGATGACTACTAACCCAAAAATAGGTATCTGAATAGATAAAAAAAAACCCCCTTTTTAAAAGAAAGCCCAAACGGCAAAAAATTGAAAATTTTGGCCGGCCCCCCTGGGTTTTGGGATTGACCTGTTCATAAAGGGGTTCACGGAAAAAAAAAGGGGCCCCGCCCGAGGTTTGGACCAGCTTTTCCCCCAGCTTTAAAAATTCCTTTCCCTGGGAAAGCGGGTAAAACTTTTCCTTGGGGTTTAAGGGG